CCCCAAAACCCCAAAACCCCAAAACCCCAAAACCCCTTCAATAGCTTGCATTGCTGAATATAATAGTAAATAATATAAATGAAAAGCCTTCTAAGGTACGAGTGTGTCAGACAACTCTATGAGGAATTCGACCATGTCAACAGCATTGTCTATGGTACTTTCCGACTAATTTTGGTGTAGACAGTATTAAAATAGACCGTAAAAAGTGCAAGAAGAGCAATCGAATTAAGATTAATAGGCTTATACAAAAGGAGAAATTAAAGAAGAGAGTCAAGCAAAGAAAGTCAAATGTGCCCTCGAATAGAAGAGATACTTTATTTTCAGCCAAAAGATTGGCCAATAGAAATCGTAGATACAGGACAATAACAGCTTCACCGATTGATTGATCACAGAATGGCTCTATTGAAAAATAATTTCAGTATTGATAATATTTTGCATACAGGAACTCCTAGCAATAAACTCAATACTTATATGACCAAAAAGTTATCGAAAGTAGAGCAAGAAATCAGCCTTCGAGCACAAAGGAATGAGACTCAGAAACAGAGAATGAACTCCTATTGAATTTCTCCCATGTCTACCTTGTCTGTAGGGAAAGATGTTTCTCAGAATCTTGAGAAACCTCCTATCAGGTACTCGAATATAACTTCATTTGCAACTCCTCTGCATGAGACTTTTCAGTACTTGAAATCCAAACTTCATGGGAAGGGAAGTTTCACTGGAACAACGAGGCACCGTTCCAATAAGCGGTCGACATATGGGGCTAGCACTGCATGTAGCAAGATAACTAGCTTTACATCATCTGAGATGCCTCTTAGCGAAAAGGATCTTACTACTTTTAGGATATAGGAAAAACCTTCTCTAAAATTATTTCTGGGTCGAATTTTACTCCTAATTCGCCTGTTGTTCCTATTAAGGAAAACTCAAGAAGATCTACTCGGAAAAGAGTGAGTAAAAATGTAAAATTAAAGCCTAAAGTAAGGCATAGATTCTCTGCTCAACCTCCACAGCCTGTTAAAGCTGTAAGGGTAAGCTGGTTGAACTAGCTCGTTCCTAATCTTGCAATTGAAAATTTTAAGCTGGTTTGACTCAAACTTTTGGGAATATCAGGATTCATATTTTGCTAAAATTAGATTGATTTGGACTGTAAACCGATGCTTTACAACCAAATTCAATAATTCAGCATAAAAAAGGGGTTTTGGGGTTTTGGGGTTTTGGGGTTTTGGGG